ATGCGATATTTAAATCGTACGCCAAGAAAATTGGCATATTTTCTAGTTGTAATTAATGATTTGAACTTTTTTGAAATGTCCGACATAAGCGCTTGGATTAGTTTCCATGTAACTATTACCCTCGGTATATTCTCACCCTTATTTGTCTAAATTGCTTTACAGTTGTTTTTAGGCATCTATGCAAGCGATCCTCCTTAAAATTCCTCTAATAAGTGAAGTTTATTTGCCGTTGATTTATAACTAGCCCAAAAAACATGATCATTTATACTGCATGGTTTTCATATATTTTTAAACTATTTTACTAGCATCCATTTCTGATTGATGTGGCACTTATCCATTGGTAAATGATGGACTTTCCTATAGTGTGGTCAATACATCCTGTTTGTATTTCTCTGTAAATTGTAGATTAATTTGCCTTACTTATTATTTGCCTCACTCTTATATAAACGATTTACCTTAAAAGCTAATCTTTCATACTCAGAGCATATACACCTTGGCATAAAATAATGCTAAAGTCGATATTATTTTGCAAATCGCTTCTTTGTCCAACATTTTTCTGATTATTTTTATTTAGTCACGCAACCATGTCATTCAGCAAGAATATTTTTCACGTAAATAGCTTATTAGTTTCCTGCCTTATATCCTTTTGTTAGAAAGACTATTTCGACTTTACTTTTTTAGATTCAGTCGTCTTAATCCTGTTTTACACTATATGCAAGCCCATAATTGGGGTAAAATTATCGATATGGCATGGCTTCCTTTGACTTCATTCACTGCTGCCGGACATCCGAAAAGTTCAATTTCAAATGACTATGGCGATACACTAGAGGAAACAGCTGCTGATCGGTTGCTTGGACATCTTATTGTCGCTTCAACTGATGGTTTTGTTCGGGTTGTGCCGGTTGCTCGGCATCTTGTCGATCGTACTCAGCCCGTCTCTATAGATGAGGATTACACACTTAAATGCTCTCCGAGTGTAGATGGTTTGTCAATAATTAATCTAATATTAAATTCCACATCGTCTTGCATTTACACTAACATTTAATGAATTGTCTCGTTGAATACCTGTAGAATTCATATCCCCTATTCTTATTGCTTATGACAGCCTTTTACCACCATGTCGCTAACACTGAATTATATTTACTCATTGCGAGCTTAAATTGTGACATATATTGCTTTGGTGGGTGTTAGAATTGAAATTGATTGTAACTTTGACATTGGATTGATACTTGATGCTAAGTTTCACGTATTTTTTACTCCCCAAAAGCTTTTTAATCTTGGATTGACTTCAGTTTCGACATCACTTAGACTTCATCAACTCTCCTAACAGGATTTGGATCCGGATCGTGGCATTACGTTTCTAATTTGTACACAGCCACGGATGCCAGTAGATCACAGGGTAGATTCGACAAGCCAGGTCTAATAGTGCGCATCCTTAATGGGGTTGTTGATGAGGCAAGCCCGTATTTGCCATTGAACTCGACGACTTAACTTATATACGGTGTGAGTATTTTTGATACTATCAGTATTTTTAAACAATATGCTTTAGAGACTGATAGTAAAGTTTTTCTCGCACCGGCATAATTAGGCCTCATGCTATTTTATTTCACTTAGCCCTGCTTATTACTAAAATGTGATTGGGGGGAAACTCGAGCTCTCTTTTAAGTCATCTTCCCTGTTGCTAAGTAGCATTCATGGTTGTAGCAAAGTGTTAGTTTTTGTCGCCACGTTGCGCCCGAACCAGTTTCGAATCCCGCTAGGGGTGAAGTTGGATCTTCATTCCATCCTTTTTGCGAAACCCTTATAGCAAGCAAGGCTAAGTGAAATTCTGTTACAACGTAAAACCCATTTGTATCATTTTTGCAGAGACTCCACTCTCAATCCTTAAATCACCTTGAGAGACCTAGGGTTACGAGGTTATTAGGAATTATTGATAGTTTCACATGTCCGTATTGAATATCTCTCCTGGTTATTTGAAAAACATGAGCCTCCGGAGAATATAAGCCGGATTTTGCCTTAGGATGTGAAGAATATTGAGTTTCTTTTCGTTCATGGCAATATGGTGAGTAATTTGGACCCTGCTTTCCTTGATAGAGTCCTTGATATTTTTTTAATGATCCTATCTAGCTCTATTACAGGGGATAAAAATGTCTTTATTTCTATTGTACTCTTAAGCCATTTTAAATGGCATCTCCAGATAGCCTTTCCCATAGAAACCTACTAACAATCTCAGCGTTGTAGTCGTAACTAGTCATCGAATTAACCCTTGAGTCTTTTAAAATACCCATGCGTTTGTCATTCGAGTTTTTAAAAATTAAAGATTCATTTAAATTCAGAATTTTGCTGTCTTCATTTTTAAAACTCGGTAATGTTGTCAGGAAGACTTAGTTGAACGCACTATTTAAAGTCCTCTGCTATAGTATTTATTATAATTCCCAGCTTTGGACCGTGGATTTATACATTCCCAGACGTTTCGCCGACATCATCAGTGAATCTTACCATTCTCAGCTCCAAGCTAAAACTCATCAGAGACAAGTTAAGTCAGTCATTTGGCCAACTTTCTGCCGAAACGGCTGTGCTATCACTCCTATTTCCGTTCTTGTCCATCTATATAATCCCTATCCTCTTGTCTCACTCCTGATATTTATTGTTAATGGATTTTACTCGGTTCTATTCCAAATGTACGTTTTACTTGCAGGCGCCGAATGCTATGTTGTAAATTCCTGAGCAATCCAACTTGTCAAACCTCTCATGTTGCATTTGTAGACTCGTGAAGAGTGTTGTTTTTTTCTTCGTGGTCACCTGAATATTTCATTTTCCTAGTGTTGACCGTAGTTTTTGAGTTAGTTGGCACGAAGATAGGAATATCCTTTTTGTGAGTCTTTCTCCATCCTTACTTTAGTTTCATAGTCCCCATCCTGCCATCGACTTTCCACGGTCTATATGTTTTTTTTCCACTAATTCAGGTGACCACTGAGGAAAAAACAACACTACACATCTACCCGCGCAAAGTGACAAGTTGGATTGCTCGGAAATTTACTGCATAGAATGCGGCGCCAGCAAACAGAAACATATTGACGAAACAGGGAGAAAAATCAGCATATGAATTAAGGAATATCACAGGCTCTGCATGAAAATGGATGCCGAAAGATCAGAAATAGCGGAACACATCGCACAGATTGGACACGATCATTTTGAAGGCAGCTGAAAAAAGAGCCTTATACGATGATAACTAAAGGAAACAAAAGATTAGGAAGATCATTGACATCTTTGAGGAAAAAAAATTAATGTACAGGAGATTGGAAGAAGGCAGAATTAGTGATAACTTTACCTGTTATTTAAGAAAACTCAGACAAAATAAGGATACGTCTGGACGAGCAAAAAGAAGACGCCTAGATCAAGGACCTATTGTTAACCAGAGGGAAATTAATCGCAAGGAGAAGCGGGTGGGAAATTTCCGAAATCAAGCGAAGACTATGTTCCTGAGTGTAGTCTGCTCGAGGAAACTACAATTTTGTAGGTCTGGCAGTCACATGATCGGGGAGACAGATAATAACAACCGTCACGGAAATTCGGCATTATGGTCAAATTGACTAAAAATAAACTCGAGACGATCAGGGATAGACGCACACAGTTTGTTTAGAGTACAAGAATTTAATCAGGCGAATGAACAATGAAGGCAATGCCTAATATCTGTAAGCATGAGAATCAGAGCCTTGTCACTTTGCTTGGGTGATGCGACACTGTACGTGCTTTTAAAGGCTTGAGAAATAGCGCCTGGAGTAAAACATACGCAGGAACTGGAATCGAGTGCAATCGGTCAGCAAGAAGAAAAGAAGCAGATATACGAGACTATGAAGGAGATCCGGATAAGAGACCCGAATCAGATTAGCTAATCGAGAGGGAGGAGGGGCAAAGCAAACAACTTGTGTGATGACGCCACGCTAAACTCACCAAAAAAAGTGCGAACCTCTGAAGGAGTAGAATATAAACAAGTCAGAAGTTGTGGTATGGCGGAAGCAAGGCAAGAGGGTAGGGAGTATATAAATGGACAAGGACGGAAAGAGGAGTGATAGTGTAACCGTTTTGACAGAAATTGGCCAGAGGATTGACTTCATTTATATCTGGCAAGCTTGGTGCTGAGAATGGCAAGATTTATTGGCAGT